CAGCACAGTAGCCTCACCTGCTCCTCATTCTCATCCCCCTGGGTGGACAGTGCTGTGTATCCTGCACCAGTGCCCTCTAGTGGCCCCTGATGGTTGCCCTGCCCCTGCAGCTTGAGGGTGGCAGGGTCAGAGTCACGCCCCTCGGTCCGTGCATCAATGGCAGCCAGCTCGGCCCGCGACAGGTAGTGCACGATTCCGGCGCCAAAGGAGTCGCCCACAACGTTGATGGAGGTTCGCATGCGGTCCCTGCAGGACAGGGGCTGTGACACATGGGTGGGGGGACGAGCTCTGGGGCAAGGGGCAGGGCCTGCACAGCCATACAGGGTGTGTGTGTGGGGGGGGGGGTCATGTGACACACACAGCAGGGATAGGGCCATGACACAGGGTGCAAGAGGTCAAGGTGTTTGAGCTGCATGGGGTGTGCTTATAAGATGCACGGAAGGGGGTGGAGCCATGTGATGGGTGGGGGTCACATACAGTAGGTGTAAGACCATGCAAGGCATATGGCAGGAGTGAGGCTAGGCGACATATAATAGGTTTGTGGTGGGGGTGGGGTCATGCAGTGTGAGAATGGGTCATGCAACAGGGGCAGGGACACATGGTGGATGAAAGGTATGCAATATGCATGGCAGGGGGGCGGGGATATGTGACCCATGTGGCAGGGTGCAGGGCCACATGACATACAGTGGGGGTGGGGCCATGCAATGTGTGTGGCAGGGGGCGGCGCTACATGATACACCTGGCAGAGGCATATAAGATGTGGCAGGGGGTGGGGCCATGTTACACCTGTAGCAGACAGCAGGGGCACACATCACATATGGCTGGGGACACCATGTCTGAGCCACACGCAGGGGGCATGGCCAGGGGGAGGAGCTATCTATGAGGGGGAGGAGCCTCAGGACCCCAGAAAGTTTGGGGATGGATCCAGGAAGGACACAGGGGTGGGATTCATCCTAGCTGCTTGGGGGCATTGGGGACTGAGCCCAGTTGTGGAGAAATGCCATGTGTGGCCAGGGTGGGGTGGGCACATCCGAAAGGAAACTCGCAGCCCCCAGCTGCACCCTGAGCCCCCCATGCCCTGCAGTGCGGTACTCACAGCAGCCAGTCCACGGCAATGAGGAGGCTGATGTCCTGGGTGGGCAGCCCCACAGCTGTCAGGATCAGCAGCATGGTCACCAGCCCTGCACTGGGGATGCTGGCTGCACCCACGCTGGCCAGGGTGGCTGTCAGGCTGGGGGGGTAGATGGGGAAGGGGTGAGTCCATGGGGGCAGGGCTTGGCCCCTCCAAAGGGGGTGCTAGCCTGGTGCGGGGGGCTCTGGCCATAACGGGGGAGTGGGGTGGGGGGGGCACCTGACCTGACGGTGGCAATCTGGCCGCTGTCAAGGACGATGCTGTTCATTTGGGCGATGAAGATGGCAGCCACAGCCTCATAGAGTGCAGTGCCATCCATGTTGATGGTGGCACCAATGGGCAGCACGAAGCGCGTCACCCGCCGGTCGATGTGCAGGTTCTCCTCCAGGCACCGGAAGGTCACGGGCAGTGTCCCGGCACTGGTGGGGCACGGCCAGGCTGTGAAGTGGGGGGTACCCACCCCACCAGCAGGTATGGCACCCGTACGGATGCCACCCTCCCCACGAAGTTCTTTGCCGCACCCTGAGACACCCCACCTCCCCATCCCCTATTACCCCTGCTGCACCCCAGAGGTGGCACCCCCAGGCCTCATGTCCTCTGCCCCTATGCCCACCCCAAGACCATTCTCCATCCCCCCATCCCCTAGCACCTCCTGCTGCCCCCACCCAGTGCCAGCCTAGTGCCCCTGTCCACCCATTGCCCACACCGTGCCCACCTGGAGGCGGTGCCCAGGGCAGTGACCCAGGCCTGGAAGATGCCACCATAGAAGGTGAAGGGGTTCTGGCGCGTGATGCCAAAGAAGATGAGGGGCAGGATCAGGGCACCGTGCAGTGCCAGGCCCAGCATCACTGTCAGTACATAGAGCCCTAGCTGCCGTGCCACCAGCTCCAGGTCCTTGATGGCTGCGATCTTGCCACAGATCAGGGAGGCGATGCCAAAGGGCGAGTACCTGTGGGGATTGTGGGGGAAAAGGGCCGTGAGGGGGGCTTCATTGTAGGGGA